CTTCCAGCCCAAACCAGTCTGTGATTCTATGGTTGCAAATCCTCCTGCTGCCAGATCTGCAGCCGGTGACCAGGTAGGTGGAGATAAAACGGGGCAGATGCTTCTGGGAACAGCAGGAACCTCAGAGCAGACATGGCTCAGGTGCTGTGGAGACACTAAAACCACTTCAAACCAGAGGGAAAAAAAAAAAAAATCCCGGGGACAACCAGGAGGAGGGGTCAGAGCAGGAGGAGGGATGAGCACTGGGTCACATCACGGCAGAGGAGGGGACACTGCTGTCACCACCCACAGCACCCAGCTCAGCTTGCAGCTCCAGTTGGGATGGTCACTTGCCCTCAAGCCTATGTGATGGGCATGGGGTTTTTGGGACGCTGGAACCTGGCTGGCTTCACCGGAGCAGGTCTCCTCATCTACCTGATGTTCATCTGTGGTAAGTGGCTCTTGCACAGGAGAAGGAGCATCCTAGGAGAAAGAAGGGGTTGGTGATCTTCAGGAATGGAGGGGACTAGGCTTGGACATGAACAGGGCAAAGCTTCCTTTGACTCACCAGCCTTTGAAAGGAAGATAAAAGTGGTGGATGGGGAAGGAGACCTGGCTCCCTTGGACAGAGGGGTTGGGAAATGCTTGGAGCCTTCCCAACTGGTGACGATTAAGACCAGAAATTGCTTGTTTGTGTTGGCCACCTCTTCAGGGCCAGCCCGTTCGTTTACAAAGGGCACAAAGTCCTCTTCACTCCAGCGCAAACAGGAACGTTTCTTCTGCTCTGCACCCTGCAGACATGGGGACTGTCCAGGAGGTGACCAATTCTTCCGCCAAGTGAGATGCCAAGGAGCTTTTCTTAATTTTTTTCTGCCTCTACCTGCTTCATTTCACAGAATCACAGAATTGCAGGGGCTGGAAGGGACCTCAGGAGATCAGCCAGTCCAGCCCCCTGCTAAACCAGGTTCCCTACTCCAGGTTACACAGGAAAGTGTCCAGGCAGGTTTTGAACATCTCCAGAGAAGGAGACACCACAACCTCTCTGGCCAGCCTGTTCCAGGGCTATTTTTCTTCTCCTTCTCCAAAAGATGCTTCAACCGCTACCCAGACCCTAACCTGGGCATCCCACAGCAGCTTGGCCACTCTAGTGCTGCCTACTGCAGCGATGAAACATCTCATATTTACCTCTCTTGCTCTAGTTTCAGCCCATGCAAAGCTCTCCTCTAAGAGACACCACCACTTGGCCAGGGGGTCAATTTGCCACGCAGTTTCCAAATCACAGAATCATTTGGTTGGAAAAAACCCTTTGAGATCATCGAGTCCAACTGTACCTGTCCACTATGAAACCAGATCTCTGAGCACCTCATCTACCTGTCTTTCAAATACCTCCAGGGATGGGGACTCAACCACCTCCCTAGGCAGCCCATTCTATTGCTTGATGACCCTTTTAGTGAAGAAGTTCTTCCTGACATCCAATCTGTTCCTCCCTTGGTGCAACTTGAGGCCATTTAATCTTGTTCTATCACTACCTCCTTTCAGGTAGTTGTAGATGATGAGAAGGTCTCCCCTCAGCCTCCTCTTCTCTTTTGCATCACACAAATCACTAATTAAAGCACCAGGTTGCAGACAGACAGACCTCCCTTTCCATCAGATAGTGGGCAGCCATCCCTACATACACTTTCTGAGTTCCCAATCCAACTGGCAGTATTTTCCTTCCCATTTATTGGGAATACCACACCAAAAAAAAATCTGAAGCTGCTTTATGGAGAATTGTCTTTCAAAGAAGAGGTTTGCAGAGAACTTTCTCTCCTGGATTGAATTTTTGGGGGGTTTTTTTGGCTTGTCTTTGAGCCAAAGGAGAAGCATGTCCATGGTTCACCAAGCCACTGCCATTTGTAGAGGGTTTGTGAAGCTCATGGAAGTGATGCAGCCTTTCCCAGCGCTGCTCTTCTCACCAAACCATCTCCATATCCCTCTTGTAGACCCTGTTGCTTCCCAGCGGGTTCCTCTCCGCCTCTCAGATGGCCCACACCGCTGCGCTGGCAGGGTTGAGGTCTACTACCAGCACCAGTGGGGAACAGTGTGTGATGACCACTGGGACCTGCAGGATGCTGGCGTGGTGTGCCGGCAGCTGGGCTGTGGCGTGGCGCTGTCAGCCCCTGGGGCTGGGCATTTCAGGACAGGACCTGGTCCCATCTGGTTGGACGATGTCAACTGCACAGGGACGGAGGTCGCCCTGTCTTACTGCAGAACGAAGGGCTGGGGAAAGAACAACTGCCACCATGGTGAAGATGCCGGTGTGGTGTGCTCAGGTAATGCCCTGTGGAAATTATGGGGTGGAGGGGGACAACGACCCATGTTCCACAAAGCAATTCCCTCACAAGGAGTGTTGCCCCAGCAATTTTCCAAAAGCTCCTTGCAGCAGAGAGCACCCATGGGACCAGCAAGGGACGGTCTTGTGGTTTCTCTCATACAAGAGGGTAGGGAGCGATTTGGGAAGCAGGGCTGAAATCATAGAATCATCATGGAATCATAGAACATTGTGAGCTGGAAGGGGCCCACAAGGATCATCCAGTCCAACTCCTGTCCCTGCACAGGACAATCCCAACATTCACACCATGTCCCTGAGGGCCTTGGCCAAATGCTGCTGGAATCTTGTCAGGCTTGGTGCCATGAGCACCTCCCTGGGGAGCCTGTTCCAGTGCTCCACCACCCTCTGCCTCAAGAACCTTCTCCTCATGGCCAACCTAAACTTGCCCTGAATCATAGGATCATAGACTGGTTTGGGTTGAAGGGCCTTTCAAAGTCATCTAGTCCAACCCCCCCTGCAGTGAGCAGGGACATCTTCAACCAGATCAGGTTGTTCAGAGCCCCACACAACCTGACCTTGAATATTTCCAGGGATGGGGCATCTACCACCTCTCTGGACAACCTGTAATGGTTATCTGTGTCAACTCTACCTTCCTAAGATGCTGAACAATGTCTCGGTGAGATGTAGGGACCTCTTGTGCATCACATACCACTGTGGTGAGCAGGACCTGGTGGCTGATTGAGGTGCAGGTGCTCACGGCAATTGGTAGATGCTGCAGCCACCTCTGCCAGAATTGTCCCAAGAGACATCGACCCATGGGTGTGCTGAGCCCCCTTGGTTGTCACCTCCACCTGCAAAGAGGACACAAGGAAAAAAAAGCTTTCCTCCTTCTCCTGTCCCAGCACCCTCAAAGATCTCCAGCCAAAGCTGGAAAGACCATGGGTTGCTAGGACCATGTGGCATCACTCCCATCCTGGTCTGGACGTGGCTGCACGTTGATAGCAACTGGATGCAGCCAACAACCATGATGGGTTGCAGAATGGTCTTGCAGAAATGAGAACCAAGGGGGTTTTCATGGTGCACCTCTTGTGCCCACCGTAGAGTCATCCAGCCACCCTACGGTCATGCACGCTGGTCCTGCAGAGCTCCGCCTGGCAAACGGCCCGAACCACTGCTCTGGGAGAGTCGAGGTGATGCACGACCACCAGTGGGGAACTGTGTGTGATGATGACTGGAGCTTCCCTGATGCCATGGTGGTGTGTCGGCAGCTGGGCTGTGGGACAGCAGTCTCAGCCTACGGTGCAGCTCACTTTGGCAAAGGATCAGGCCCCATTTGGCTGGACAACGTTCAGTGCAGTGGGACCGAAGCTGCCCTCTCCGAATGCCCGGCTAGACCTTGGGGTGTCAGCAACTGCGACCATGGAGAGGACGCCAGCGTCATGTGCACAGGTAACATTGTCCTTGTGGAGCAGAAGTTCAGCAGAGGATGTTCTGCTCCAGGGAACTGCACTGGTTTCACAGCTGCAGCCAAGGGCTGGGCAGCACTCACCTGGGTGGGTGACCTTGACCCCCTTGGCCCATCTCCTACAAGATGCCATGCTGACACTCTTTAGCACACAGGTCCATGAGAGTAAGGAGCAGCAGGGGTAAAAGGAACAATGGGCACCAAGGAAAGAGGGGAAGCACCATACCAGGTGCTAGATGCTCCTAGCAAGGTCCCAACCCACCACACTATGGGAACCAGGAGCCCACAGGCTGTGCAAGGATGAGGGGAAGGTGGGCCTTGAAGTGTTTTTGAAGAAGGGGAAGCAGGAAAGGGGGTCTGCAGAAAATCTCTCCCTTCAGGGGTGACTGTGGCCACGTGAAGGGTTCATGGATGTCCACCTGGGAGGACTAAAACAAAGGATTGCAGCCATTTATGGTTTTCTTCTGCTCACGTTGAACGTGTTGTGCAGGCTCTGAGGTTGCACGGCTGGTTTTGCCCACACCTGAACTTTTTATCCCCAAACTTTCAGAATTTCTCAGCAGCTCTTTGTGGACATGGGAACTTCCCCAGGCAAAACACAGGGGAACATCCTCCAGCACGGGTCTCACCATGGTGGCAAGAAGGGGCACCTTGAGGGATACCTGGTCTGATGTTCCCCTTATGTCTCTTGTCACGAGCAGGCACAGCCACACCAGACATGGCCACACCAGGTACAGCCACACCAGACGACACATCAGCTCACGTGCGCCTGGAGAACGGTCCCAGCCGCTGCGCGGGGCGCGTGGAGGTGCTCCACCACCATCAGTGGGGGACGGTGTGTGACAATGGCTGGAGCCTGGCCGAGGCAGCAGTGGTCTGCCGCCAGCTGGGCTGTGGGACGGCCATCTCGGCCCCGGGCTCGGCTCACTTCGGGCAAGGGTCTGGTCGCATCTGGCTGGATAATGTGAACTGCACAGGGACAGAAGCCACCCTCTCCCAATGCCAGACCAGGCTGTGGGGATCCAACAGCTGTGACCACCGGGAAGATGCTGGTGTGATGTGCTCAGGTGATCCACGTTGGATGGGATAAGAACCATGTGGGTTGGGGTGCAGGAGCAGCTCAATCATGTCCCAGGTAGCAGGGACTCTCTTGTCACTGTTGACCCCACGACCCTCCCATAGTCACTCTTGACCCCAAGACTGTCCCATAGTCACTACTGATGCCATGACCTTTTGTCAGGCTCCAAGCCCCAAGCTTTGGAGCTGTGATCCCTCTTGATCCACCCCAATGAGAAGCAAATCCCAAGCCAGCCCTGATGGTGTCACACATGTCCCAGGCAGCCAGAGGCTGCACGTGCGGAGAGGATGCTCTGATTTTCATAAAATCATAGAATCATAGAATGGTTTGAGTTGGAAGGGAGATCATCTAGTCCAAGCCCCCCCTGCCATCAGCAGGGACACCTTCCACTAGACCAGATTGCTCAAAGCCTCATCCAACCTGGCCTTGAACCCTTCCAGGGAGGAAGCATCCACAGCTTCTCTGGGCTGCCTGTTCCAGTGTCTGACCAACCTCACAGCTAAGAATTTCTTCCTAATATCT